ATACACCCCACACACACACACACACACACACACACACACACACACACACACACACACCACACACACACACACACACACACACACACACACACACAACAAAACAAGGCAAGAACACACACACACACAAACAAGGCGAGAATACACACACTCACAAACAAGGCGAAAAACACACACACACAACAAACAAGGCGAGAACACACACACACACACACACACACCACACACACACAAACACAAACTAGACACACGTGTACATACAACTGTGTTACACAACTCTTGTTTAAATATTCTTCACTGTCTAGAGTGTTAAAGAATATCAAACAACTGTCCTTCCCCTCCCCCTCCTAGTCCGACACTGATTTATTTACAACATCTGAAACCAAATATTTGGAACGCCATGCAAGAAGATATCGTACACGCAGACTGAAATTAATTTAAAATACTTCTCGTGTGTGTGTGTGTTTCATTTTTTTACAAACGAACAAGTACAGAATTTTTTTTAATGAAGAACATCCTCTTTTGACCTCCCTTTCTGGATCCAACTTACATTCTGGATCCAACTTACATTCTGGATCCAACTTACATTCTGGATCCAACAATTTTTGGCTAATATTGTTATGACATGAAGGTATGTTTGGTATAATTCATGCTTCACTTATACTTAGTCACTTCCTTCTTGCTGCTTGTGTCCTGTTAGTTTAAATTTAGACGTATCTTGGTTATACATTTTGGGCATCTGGATAGTTTTGATGGTTAGCTATTCTGTATTATTTACTAGACTATATCGCCTTGTCAAGATTTTCATTTTATTTCTGGCTTTTAAAGCGACATACACATGCTCTTGCCTTGAATTTTTTTTTATTTTGTCAGTAGTGTATTTGCAATGCTGTAGTCGTGTCAGTGTTAAGATACTGATGGAATTCCCATCACTTTCTATATTATTTTTTGAGATTTCATCTACTAGCTAAAAAAAAAGTTTGAGAGATGATGGCAAGAGGATGACGATGGTTGCTGAAGATTATAATCTGTGATATTCATGCCCTAGACACCACCGTGTCCACAGCCACCATCATTTCTCAAACCTTTGCTCGTCGACTAACTGCAGCTCAGTATAGGCTTTAGAAATGACTGGGCTGGGAGCCGTCATAACGAATGTATCTTCTTATTCTGTTGCTCCTGCTTCCAGAGTCACTAGTACCGAACGTGTTTTACTACCAAGAAAATGAAAACACAATACCGTGACTGGAACAATACATAAATAACCCGGTCCAAGTCGGACCGAAACGTCGTCATAAGTTTTTCTCTCCTATGTGCGGGTTATTTGTGTAGCGTTTTAACTACCAATTTGTATTCCTGAGCGTGATGATCCAGCTAGCGTTCATCCCAAAGTTAGTGGCATAAAGTGTATTTCTGAACAGACATGAGGATATTATTATATTCACTAATAAAAAAGCTAAATCCGACCGTCGTTAAGCGCTACATGGCAGAGGTAAGCTGATGACGGAGACATACAGTGCTACACTGTGCATAGGTGCTGACGTCTGGATCATATGTTTACATTTTTAAGTGTAGCGCTAATCCTGTGTTGGGTAGTGCAATGCGAACATAATGGAATCTCAAACCTCCGTTAGCTGATAGCGAGACAAACTCGACGCTCACAGTCAGGCTCTCAATCAGCAGCGAAGGATGCAGATATGGAATTAAAAATCCCTGCAGATACCCAACAGGGTTTATAAATTTTCTTCAGATGGTAACTGCTTGTCCATGCACTACTCTGTAGCTCCTGTAAATTATGACTGTGAAGTAGAGACGCTATTTCTTTTTGGCTTTCTACTCGGCACTACTCCTAGCCCAGTCACGACAATGATTTCAGCAAACTTCACGTTATATCTAAGATCTCCTAAGTTAGCTACTAGATCACGCACACAGCAATAAATACACAGCATTTGTATTTGGAAAAGTTAGGAATGGATGTTATTTTATAGCCTCAGTATAATGTTGTTTTGATGAAAAGTCTAGTTTGCATATATATATAAATAACATCTTTACGTTGTTGATGTATATAATACAGTATATTGATATAACTAATTAAGAAAAATATTCATGTAAGTGAACCAAATATATATATAATAAAAGAGGAGTCATACACGATATGTGGAGAAGCCAGGTTATAATTTACTTTTTTATCCTCTAAATAATTTTTGTAGTAATACAAGGAAGTCTACTAGTTAGAACATTATAATGTTTGTAATGTGTCCACACACAAGTGACATCAACATCTCAAAACATTACTTTTGCTGTTTCTGGAACAAACTTTTTTTTTTTTCATAAAACTTTGAAAGGGTAATATTTATGCATCATTCATAGAATACAGTAATTGTAATTTAATTTCTGATTACTTATTGTCAATTATGTAAGCAGGATAGTGTTTATATATGTATATATATATATATATATATATATATATATATATATATATATATATATATAATATATATATATATATTATATATATATATATATATATATATATATAAATATATGTGGTGTGTGTGTGTGTGTATTATATATATATATATATATATATATATATATATATATATTGTTTATTATATATTTATATATATATATATATATATATATATAATTATATATTATATATATATATATATATATATTATTATATGTATGTATATATATATATATATATATATATATATATATATATATATATATTATATATATATATATATATATATTATATATATATATATATATATATATATATATATATATATATATATATATATATATATATATATATTATGTATATATATATATATATATAATATATATATATATATATATATATATATATTATAATATATATATATATATATAATAATGTGTGTTTATATGTTTCTTAATAGATTTTGCCTAATCGTCAATGACCGTTCTGCCAAATGTTCCCAAATTATATTCAATTTTTTGCTCTAACTCGGCAACAAAAAATCTGTATGCACAACACGAATTGAAAATACACTATTTCATTTATTATATGATTCTGTGAACTTAAGCTTTCCTAACCTAGAGTTTATTATCGGCCGCATATCAACCTTCTCTTATCCTTGCACTGTGGCAGACGAGATACCCCATCATCTTATCAGAGGTGTTCATTTAAGAGATCAAACGAATTAGGAAATAATATAGAAGGATAATCGGAAACTATTATTGCTGGGCTGAAAGGTTGTGATGAGCCTGGGACCGTATGAACCAACCTCCCGAGAACACAGGAGGCATAGACCATTAATATGACCCCTGAGAAAGGTGCAAGGGTCACGATATCAAGAGACCTCTCTTGTGGATGATAGCTCTCCCTCTCTGTACCTCGTCTACACCTGCTAGTGTGTACTCGGTGAAGTTAACGATGTCTTCTCTGGAGTAACTTTGTCATCAGGTGGAGATCAGGTGTATCAATACTTTGTTCTGAGAGGGAAATAAGCGGATTCGTAGCAGTCTTTAAGGGAACAAAGAGGACGATGATAAAAATGTCTGGTTACTAATAGAGAGGAAAGAAACTAAATTCAAGATGAAATGCTATGTGGAAACTGCAAAATGTTTTTCTGTGTTCCAACACCAATAAAGGACCTCTAAAACAGTGGCGCAAGAGAACGATGGTAAGAAGTGTGAGAGGTAAGATCAAGGTAAGCGCATTCTTAAGAATTAGTAACGTAATAGCATAAGAATAGAGGAGCACTGCAGTTGACCTACTGGTCCATGCTCTGCGGCTTCTCCTCAAATCAAACTCTTTTCTTTCCTATATCCATTATAAATTTGAATTTATTCAGTTTGAAAGTATTTCGATTTCTTTCCTGCGTCCTATATAAATCTCCATTATACCTGTCTTCCATTTGTATACCTCAATAATATCTCCCAGCGGAAAAAAAACAAATGCACTATCACATGATCTTTTATTGACAACGTTTTGCCCACGTCATAAACGAAAAACTAGATGAGCATATGGATAGTTTTGAGGTGCAGAATCTGGTTAATGTGTTAAACCTTAAATTTTAGGTAGCTTAAGAATGGAAGATTAATTTTTGACTGAGTAGGGATGGATTTGAGGAACCGCTGAGCGTAGTTATATAATGGTAGAGGATACCAACAGTACGTAAATAAGACACAATGAGGGTTATGGTATTTTATTATGAAAACGTTTCATCCACCAGGAACTCTATTAATTCACACGGGCCATCAAGCTTACTGTAGTGCTCCATTTTGTTGTTATGTGGGAAACTGATCTAGAAGTTCAGGTGCGTTATAGAAGCCATTGTTGTGGTGGAAATTTTGTGACATTTCCAGGATTCTGAGTATCTGCGTGTCTTCTTTGACAAAGTTGTGCGTCCTTGTAAGTGATAGTGGTTATGGAAGTTTGAGTGAACACGAGAGGGTATTCAAAGTGGCTCATACTTCAGGCGTATAGGTGTTCAGAACTGCAAATTTGTTTCGTCACATTCGTTGCAAGGGATTTTAAAAAAAAGTATACCCCTGCTGTGGTTTGGACTTTTTGGGTGTGTCCCCCTTACTGCTGGAGATGACTTTAAAAATATAGGTGTTAGGAGGTACTATGCATCTTCTATTGAGGTGTCTCATCTAGGTGAGTTGAAGATGTTGTCTGCAGTTTCTGATGAAATGACGAGGACAGTTAAGTTTAGAAAATATTTATTGAAGGAAAGAGCATTCTTCAAAAAGTATCACCACTGCAGATACGAAGACCAAGTAGAAAGAAGCGCATGATTATGTCACGTTTAGTCATAGTGCAAGTAGAAGTGGGGAAGCTGTGTTGGTTTGTGAGTTTTCGCTAGGCTTTGAGATATAGCTCGTGATCAGACTTAAAAGTAGATCAAGAAAATGGAAAGCCGTCGACTTCCTCCTCGAGTGTGAAATGAATTGAGGTCTTGCTTTGGTTGAGGTTATGGTAGAGTGCAGGGACGTCGAAT